CCAGTCTCAGAGAAGATCGAGTGCGTGTTCCTCGCTTGAATGCTTTTAAGTTCTTACAATGGGGGTGCAAGAATGGTGAAAGTGGTAAAACCTATGCTAGACGAGGGGCAGCCCGAAGGGAAGCTCCAGGAGCCCTACTGCTATGGATGGAATGGTAGAGGATGAATAATGTGAAGATCTCTCGAGGTGGGTGCACTGGCTGCCCTTATATAGAGTTCAGGGCCCGGGCTTGATACAAAGAGGAGGTTCTCCTGACCAAAGGGTCGTGAGCCTAAGGGAGGTCCTAACTAACTTGGCTTGCAAGCTACGCCGTCTTCTGGCCTTCGTCCGGGCGTGGCCATTGTCATGGTCTTGTGGCCACGCTGAAGTAGGTCGAGACGTGGTGCTACTGTGCCGGGCGTGGCGGGCATTGTAGGCACATCGATGGTTCATCAGCCGTCCTGTGCGACGCGGTGTCCGTCATGGTCTTTGTCATCGCCTTCAGGTCCCCCGGGTCGTTGTTCATCTAGTCGCTTCTCGGGGCTGAGGGCCACGACCCCAATCATCGGGGGCGGGGCTTTCAACCGCCCTGGTCGGTCTCTGCGCTGAGACCCTTGTCGTGGCTCCCATTCCGCAGTGGGCAGGACCGTATACCTGCCTGGTTGGGCCGTATCCGGTCAGTGGTCATCTCACCCGTCGTTACCGCCTCGAGGCGGTGTTGTCTTGTCAGTGCATCGTGGCACAGGGTTGACGTCTGGCCGAGCTGAGGTGACTACTGTCGTCTTGGTCCTTACGGGGTCAGTGCGGCGTGCTTGCCCCTGTCAGGGCAAGCTCGCTTGGCAAGGCGCGACCTCTTTCTATATCTTCCGGAGGTTGTGATGGAGGGAGGTCGTACATCTTGCAAGCGTGGTGAGACCAAGGCAGGTGGGAAGGGTCGTGGATAACCCCAACCTCAGCGCCTGGTCTGACCTGTTTGGCTTTTGCTGGACCTCGATCGTTTGGGCCTTTATCTGTTGTCACGTTGTGAGCTATGCGGCCCGCCATCTAATCGATGCCACCCGGTGTTATAACCGTGACACTACACGTTGGCTCGTGCAGTCGTGTTTACCGACCATTACAAAACACTGGTTTCACCCAAGTGGTAGGATGCAGCTCCAACACTCATCAATGCTTCGACCCCCCCCCCCGCGCGCGTCCACCCGGCATCGCTGTCCCAGCTGCAGAGGTCGGCCAGCGAAATCTTGCCACGCCGTGCAAGAACGGAGAGGCGGCTTTGATTCAGCCGATCGGTCAGTCAGTAGGCGAGAAGTAACTCTTGCCCAGACAACACTCCAATTTACCGGCCGGCAAATTCCAACACCACGGAAAAGAGCAGGCCGGGAAGAGCTCTCCTCAGTACAGCAACGCATACGTCTCACCGCACCTCCTGCCGCCGCGCACGTCGTAATAACCTAACCAACAACCCACGAGCCGGTGAAATCAACCTGCGGGGAGAGCGGCCAGCCAACGCACCCCTAACTCCTATCCTTCCTCTGCTCAAGCCTCGCTCTACTATGGTGAAACCGTGAAACACAACGCCTCATCACACACATACGTACCAGCTATATATATGATCACTGGCTGATCTGCACTGCAGTACGCGGTGACAACTGCTCACCCAGCTGTGGTGAATAATGGTCACGCACTGCAGTAGCGGTGGTTGGGAGGAGGAAGACGAAGGAGGGACGGATGGATCGAAAAGGTGACGGACGGATGGATGGTCGCTTTGCTTCCCTTGCAATGTACCCCACCCACCCAACCTTGTCATCACTCTCGCCACGTTACTGTCACTGCGATCAAATACAACTACTATTTTTTTTTTGATCGATCGTTTTTTTTTGATCGATCGGCTCGTGCCGTGCCTCGTGGTGGTGCAGCTAGCTAGCCAGGCCAGGCCTGACCACTGATGTGCTCCTCATAATAATTGTACTGCCCGGACTCGAGACCGTGCGAGCAGCAGCTAAACAAGCGGCCTCACTCGCGGTATTGAGGAGGGAGGTCCAGGCTGTGGTTGGTGCAGTAGGCCTCGTGGTCATGGGCCAGGATATATATGATCCAGTTGGTTTGCGAGTCACTGTCAGCTGCATATATAATTTCAGTGATCGAGCAGCAGTGTCCAGTGATCGAGTGATCCAAGGGATCGATGGCAGCTGCTGCATGCACCTACGTAGTTGGTAGCTAGGGCGATCAGATCTTTGTGAAAACTTTGTGCGTGTGGCGGTGTGGGATGCCATTGGGCATTGGCATCTCCGCATCTGCAGATATGAAAGGGAAAGCCTCATCGCTACCTCTGCTCCGCATCTGTGGTCTGGTTCAGCTTCAGCACAGCTTGAGATGTGCATGGGCGACTGATCCGCAGTAGTACAATGCTACGTACTACTCCTACCACCAACGCGTACGTGTGGTGGACGTCTGGTCTCTGCTCGATCTCAGAGCTACTACCTAACCTACCGCATTGTCTGTAGCCATACTAGGCTTCCTGTGCGAACTGATCAACTGAACCTGGTGCCTGCAGAGAACTGGACAGCTAGCTAGCCAAGAGCTGTTTCCGACCTCGAATAAGCAAGCGCAATGTATCCGGCCGAACCGGTCCACAGGAGCGGGGCTCACAGCAGGTGGCAACAGTTAAATGACAAGCCACAGTGTATCCAGCCGAACCGGTCTATATCAGTGGGTCCCATGTTAAAATAAAAAATCTTGGCCCTCAACCTCCCATATCGTTCGCGCGAGTGGATGAAGACTCCGTCCGCGTAAGTGGCGTAACCTATTCTTCTCCGTCCCCGATCTCACTCCTTCCACCAAATCCGACCACGGCCTTCCGTGTCTACCTCCTCAAGTATTGCTTGTACTAAGATCCCCAACTTCCCTGACGTGATGCCTACGACCTCAGATCGAGCAGTGCCCTGCCGTGGCGTGCGGACTCCAGAGGCGGCGCCTTCACGGGCTCTCAGATTGGGCGGCGACCTGGCCATGGACGCTCGGCGCGGCAACCTCCACACCAGGCACTCGGACGGCCGGGTCGCATGGACTCTAGAGAACACGACCTCAGGTGGCTCTCAGATCTGGCGGCGACGACGGCATGGACGCCCGCTGGCGACGACTGGTCATGAACGCCAGTGCAGGGCAACCTCGCAGATGGCCATGGACCCCGGCGTGGTACACTGGACAAGCCTCCACGCCAGGCACACGGACGGCCGGGTCGCACGGACTCCATAGGCATTGACATCGCGGGGGACTCCCAAGCTGAAGACCTCGCCCTCTCTGTGCCTCTGCAGCTCAGTAGGTATCTCTACATCCATTCTCTTCTATGTTACTACTTTAGTTTTTAGTTGGACAAAACCAGAATCTTAGCCAAATAAACTACAGTTGGTTCAAGACAGTACTTCTAGTTCTTTTGTAAACTGAGAACAATGAAACGAAGAAAGTACAATTGCCTTACTTTAGATACGATTACAAAGCATTTGATGGGAAACACACAATCCTAAATTAATGCTGTTGTGTACTTTAGATTTGATTACAAAGCATTTAAAGGGAAACACACAGTCCTAAAATTACATGGATGAGACTCTACTCTTGGTCTGCTTCATGCTGCTGTGTATTGAATTTTTGCCAAATGTGCTCTATCAAATCTTCCTTGAGACGAATGTGAGTTGATCGATTGTGAATTTCCGTGTCTTTGTCAAGTACATCTGTGAATCCATAGATTGGTCCATGTGCAAGCCCGGTTAAATTTGGGGAAGATTGTGCTTGCTCGTATGTGTTATCATTTGGTATGTCATTGATGCCTCTCTTATCCTCTATTATCATGTTGTGCAAAATAACACATGCATACATAATATTGGCGAGCTCTTCTCGTTCCCAGAGTCTAGCTGGGTGACGTATGATAGCCCAACGCTTTTGCAACACCCCAAAAGCTCGTTCCACAACTTTTCTTTCTCCTTCTTGAAAGCTTGCAAACAATTTATGCTTAGCACTTAGTGGTCTGTTGATTGTCTTGACAAACGTGGCCCATTCTAAATAGATACCGTCAACTAGATAGTAACCCATGCTGTATTGTGACCCATTAACAGTGAATTGAACCTCAGGTGCTTTGCCTCGTAGCTGTTCTGTGAATAACGGTGACTAGTCAAGCACATTAATATCATTGTTCGAACCAGCAGCTCCAAAAAATGCATTCCAAACCCATAGGTCATAAGATGCAACAGCCTCTAGCATTATGGTAGGTACCTTATAATCACCTCGAGTGAATTGTCCTTTCCAAGCAACCAGGCAATTCTGCCACTCCCAATGCATACAATCAAGACTACCCTACATCCCAGGGAAACCACGCTGGTCTGCAACTTGCAATAAGCGTTTGATGTCTTCACTAGTAGGCTTGCGTAGATATTGTGCACCGAATAGGCTTCTAACACCATGAACAAAATGAATCAAACACTCCATTGCTGTACTCTAAGCAATACCGAATGTTTCATCCATAAGATCTGCTGGTGAACCATATGCCAACATTCTAATGGCAGCAGTACATTTTTGTAATGGTGATAGACCCACTTTGCTAAATGCATCTCGACGTAAACAGAAATATGGAGACCAAACACCTAGAGCTACGACTATGCGCAGAAATAAATGCTTCCTCATGCGAAATCTTCTACGAAACTGATTATGTGTGTACAAGGGAGTATCTGAAAAATATTTAGCAAATAGTATGTTGTGATCACCTTCTATGCAAGAGCTATTTTTTTGTCTTTTTCTCAACAGCCATATGCAACTTTTGGCATGACCTCAACAGCTATATTTGCTTTCATTGACAACACTAAGAAAAATAACAATTACACTGCCAACACTAAGAAAAATAACAATTATACTAAATACTTGGGGTACAGACATGCAACCTAATACTTGAACTAACGTATAAATACACTAACAACACTTAAAAACAACAATTACACTAAATATTAGGGATACATGCATCTCTTGCTGCTTTTCTACTTAGCCAAGTCTTTTGCTATCTGGTCCAGTATGCTGTCATGCCTATTTTTTTCTTTTTCATTGAAGTTTGAGGTATCTATTGCCAATAGTTTTAAATAGGTCTTATACTTTTTGTCTCTTGCTGTTTTTGCTTTCATTGACATAGCTTCAAGATACATAACCATATTCTGACTTGGTTGGTTGCTCAAAGGAGTTGGTGCAGCAGATTTTCCTGACCCTTTGATCCTTGCCTTCGCTTTCTTCTGCCCCTCAGGACGTTCCTCTTTACTTATGGTTTCCCCCTCTGTGTCTTGGTTGGACGAAGAAGTGCACGCTCCTGAGTTAGATAGCTTGGTCCTTTTTGTTGTGCTCTCCTCTTGGATGATTCTACGCCATTTGGGCATCTCCTTGGCCACTTTCCACAGATACTCATATATGAATGACTTATCCTTGTTTTGTCCCTTGAACAACTCATGGGCTGTTTTTAGTACCATGTCATCAGATTGGCCACCGCTGCGTGCACTCATAGCTCGAGCATAAGCCCCACTGAACTTTGTGATATCCCTCTTCACATCCCCCAATGTGTCTTCAATTGTTTGACTGACCTCTTGTGGCTATTTTTTGGCGCATTGTCATTGAACTCAGCAGCAACACTTTTCAATAGTACTCAAATTTCCCGTCGTCGCCGATTACGGGATCAGTGGAGTGATGTGTCCATGCACTGAATAGCCGGTCATTTTCTTCTTCACTCCAGTTGATGCGTTAACGCCTCTTTGGTTCTTCTTCACTGCTATCACTTAACTGTTCAATGTTCACTGATTGCTTCTCTTGTTGTGCAGAGCATCGAGAACTAGACTCGGATCTATGAGAAGAAGTGTTGGCTGCAGCTCCACCCAAATGGCCAAATTGCAGCACTGGTGGAGGCCTATTGACTGCAGGTGCACCCAAAGGACTAAAACTTTCATGGAGATGAAATGCTTGAAAGCTCGGTGGTGGGGCTTGTAGCCAACTCCCTTGACTGTTGAACACCTTGAAATCTGGGAGGAGAATGGCCATATGGTGGGTGGATTCCTGGAGGACCAAAAGGATTGAGGTTCTATAGAAAATTGGATGTTCCAAAGGAAAACTGGGATTGGGGTGTAGGAGGTGAGATTTGGCCACTACCCTCTGAAGAGTACTGGGATGGAGAGTCCTGATTCAGGAGGTTTGAAAAGCTTCTAGGGTTGGGTTCCATTGAAACTACTAGTGTTCTAGACTCCAATCTCAGCTGTTGTGAATTGTGCAGCAAGGTCATCCACTTTTGTAGGCAGAGGATGGAGTTCAGCAAATGTGGTGTGTGGACAGAGACGGTGTGGAGAGACACGGAGGTGGAAGAGGGCCAATGGCTACTTGCAAGCCAACGACTATATGTTTCTTTAATGTATCTGCTAGATGTACAGTGCACTTTGTACTTTTTTATTGCCTTGTGGGCTAGCTATAGTGCTACGATTACCTGTTGCTATTTCTTTGCTATGGACCGGCCTCACAATGTACCAGGTAGCTGGTAGCGAATATTTAATTCCCTATGGACCGCTTATTGCCAACATTGTGGTTGCTCTAAACTGAACGGGTCTTATCTGACAATGGGATTTGCACGCACGTACGGACGCCGGATCGATCACAAACGCACAAGTGCTTGTGCTTCACTCAGTTCACATATTCGAGCTGGCGGCAAGTGCCTGGACTTGCTTCAGAGTTGCACAAGATCGCTGTCAGCTAGCCTTGACCAGTGCGTCCATCAGAGAGACTGCGTCTAATTTCGACGCACCGACGGATGCTTGCTTACACACATGTTTCCGTTTCCTGTCTGTTTCCGACCCCGTCGGTGTCCAAGCGATTCGTTGGCGCCTCAAATCACCGCGCTGTTCTCTCGCCAACCGGAGATGCTGCTAGTCGTCTATTGCCACACCGCGACAGCCGGCAATGCAGCCTAACTCGCTAGCTCCTGGGTCACGCAACGCATGCAAGGCCACCGGCCGGCCGGTGCAGTGCTATGCAACTGGCATCTAGCTAAGCCTTGATGATGCCGCGCGCCGCACACCAGTGGTTGAGGGATCCATGGATGGATGGAGACCGGAGATGACAATGAAAAGACATGATTATTTTGTAGTATGATAATGGGGGTGTGGTTGCCATCCATGCAAACCATACCTAAATTTGCTAAAATATATATAATCCTTAAACGTTTTACTATATTATATATAATGATGATCTGGAAAAGCCGGTTGCTTTGCCTTTACCTTTAGTTAGTAGACCCCCTTTTGCTTCTTTAATCATTGATCTGAGGCGCCAGGAGTGACATGCTCTTTATTATTGTAATGCTGCCGTTGCATTAACACTTGACAGCCTAGAAATGATGGTACATAGGTTTATGAAAAGAGCCTGGCTTTACTACAGCTAATTTTTTTCTTAGAGAACAAATAATTGTAAGATTTGGACACCAAGGAGTGAATGAGTTATGCATGATCCTTTAAACCTATATAAGATGATGTCATAGTGGCATGTTATGACAGAACCGTCTAATCTAATGTCTCCCAGGAGTGCTCGTCTTCTATTAGACACTAAGCACTCAAGGGAGAACACCAATTTACACGGTCCCGTTGGGCACACCCCGAGGGAGAACCCAAAAATCCACATTTTCCATCAGGATCACAAATGAGATAATAAAGCTTACATCATTCTTAACCATTTCTTACATCACTTTACATGTAACATCAGAGTATAACATTACAAATGAGATAATAAAGCTTACATCATTCTTAACCATTTCTTACATCACTTTACATGTAACATCAGAGTATAACATTTATTATTTATAATAGCAGAATATGAACATGTTATCAGAGTTATGAACAATTTAAATTAATAGTGAAATATAAACATGTGATCAGGATTACAGCGGAAATAAATATCTATTCATAGCATGATGAAACATTAATGACCCTGTTCGCTGGGAGGAATTTGGAGGAATCTGGATGAATCTGGAGGAATTTGTGAGAGAGTGAACAGTGAAAACCAACCATGCATAGTGAAAACCGGCTGGTTTTCTTACCAGCCGAACTGCCCCGATAAATGAACTATGACAACAGATTATAAAAACTTCTGTTTATAAAAACACTTGGTAAGAGTTATAAATAAAAATTGTGATCGCAGCGTAAAAGAAATCCTCTCTGAGCTCACCAGGAGGAATCTACACACAAAGGTCAGCTCTAGCCTCCACCTGTCACCTACAACAGGAGGAATGAAACCCTGAGTACTCAATTGTACTCAGCAAGACTTACTCGACAGGAGGAAAGAAAAGACTCCAATGATATGCAAGGCATCTGGCTTGTGGGTTTATTGCATCTGCTGGAAGCATTACTAAATGTGGGTCCTTATATTCGATTTTTATTAGTAGTGCATTAGTTCATTAATTAACCATTCTATGTAAGCACATATGCTACTTTTAAGCAGGTGATAAGCAATCAGATTTTCTTTTTCCGTTCCATCTTTCATCGTTCAGTTCTTACTACGGTGCTAGACCGCAGACAAGTCGTACCAGATTTCTTGACGATTCGCGAATCAATGCCCCCAGCTGGGTACCCCGAAAACACACGCCCCGCTTGTACCCAAGACACAAGCAGGACCAACCCACTACCCTCCTGTCATGGGGTCCAGGTCCCCGTCCAAACTGGGACTCCAAGCCCCCACCCCTGAGTCCCGGACTCAGTGCGGTGCAAGGACCTTCTAGCCCAAAAACCACCAAGAGAGTCGGTCCGAAAAGAGCTGGAACCCATGACAAGAAAATAACAAGTCTTCAAAGCGCTCATACCCAAGTATGTGCTTGGGATAATAACTTTGTGACTTGCCTAGAGCCTTATGCAACGGCCGGTTCTTAACCGACAAAGACAGGAAAAACAGTGTAACCAAGCTATGCCCCGCGTCCGCGGCGACACAACCTCTTACACCCACAAATACCCAAACCATATCCCTACCCGATCACCATTTTCCTTTCCACCATTTTTATATATTCCAAGTGATAATAATCCAATAATATATTTCGTATCTCTCGCGAGTGACAGCCATCACTCGACTTCTACCGGAGTCCTGTAGCATAGCAATCTACACGATCCTATCATACTAGTAAGACTCATAGAATAAAGATATATATATATATATATATATATATATATATATATATATATATATATATATATATGCAAGTGAGTTTCATTCAACTCTGAAAACTTAATGCACAAATATAATTTAAAGTGTAGAAAAGTAGGAGTTATGCACCGGGGTTTGCCTGGGTAAGATTTAATCAGAAGTTTACATTCTATCATGACGACCGATCTCCAAAAGCACCATTTCTCTAGCAACTCCCGATGACTCTGTGACCGATCGACGTCCCTATTATGATATGCAATGCAAAGACATAATTAATCGACTGGAGCCGTGACTCGTAAAATATGATTTACGCCTCTCACGTTAACGAGCTAGTTCTAACCACGACCGTACTTAGGCTACATATCCATGTTGTCGAATAAGACGTTATTTCCCAACAATTATTTTAGTTATATAAACCCAAGTTGTTTCTTTATTCTATTCTATCAATTTAATCTTTATTCGTAATAGGACATCATTATCTATTTAACAAACTAATTATTTCGGAGCTACAAAAATTATAGTGAGTACCTAATATTGCTAGGAGCTTACTGTAAAAATTTTAGATCCAATACTATTACCAATTTATCACAACAATTCCTACAAGTTTATATTTTTTATAATATTAAGTACCTTAAATTAATTATATAGCTTTCAAGAATATTATCAAACTATGTGAACAAAATATACTAACATGTAGATCATAATTTTATGAGACTAATAAAATTGGTTTCATAATTTTTGGATTCATTTACCATTTTATATTGATTTTACAAGTTAACTAGAAACCTATATTAGAAAAACATTTAGATAACGTAAAGGACCGGAGGCAACCCATTTCGGCCCAGCAGACACGGCGCGACGGTGGCCCAGCAGACGCGGCATGGCGGTGGCCCAGCAGACGCGGCGCGGCCCACCGACCAGGCGCGGCCCAGCGGCACATGGTCGGCCCAGACAGGGAGCGTGGCCACAGAGGAGGCCGACGGCCCAAACGGACAGCGAGCGCGGCCCAACCAGCCAGCCCAACTGGCAAGCCCAGGGTGCATTGGTGGTTTTGCAAAAATGGCCCTACGTTTACCTCTATTCAACTCGAGATCCACAAGCACTATTTAAATGAGTCACGTATTTTACACCTAGAACCCTGTATAAAATTCCTAGTTGGATTCATACCCTTCTCTTCATCCTCAAAAGCAGAGGACAGACGGGGAGCATCGGCCGACGGCGGAAATGGTGTGACGGGGCCGGGGAAGGCATGGAGGCGGCGGACCACCCGCCGGCGAGCCGCACGGGGACCCGCGCGGCCTCGGGCTGACCGCGGCAAGAGCCGAGCCGGCCCCCGGAAGCCTGCCCGCACGAGCCATGGAGGCGGGCACGCCGGCCGCGGTAGGGGAGGCGACAACAGCGGCGCTAGTGGAGGTGCTGGCTCGGCGGCGTGGAGTGGATGAGCAGCAGGCACGAGGACCGCGGTCCCGGGCGGGGAAGGAAAAGCGGCCCCGGCGGGCGCACTGCGGCGCGTGACCACAGTGGGGCGCGGTGATGCCGGCGCAAGGGAGGCTCGAGGCAAATGGCCACGGCGGCGAAGCCGTACCGGTGTGGACGGGGGACGACGAAGCGCGAGGCCATGGCGGGCGCGACGGGGCAGCGCGGGACCCGGTGCGCTTGTGAGTGCGGTGGCCACGCAGCGGACGGTGGAAGGGTACCGTAGTGGTGCAGCGTGCCAAGGCAAGGCCGCGGATGACGGCGGGGCGTTGCGGCTCGGTCGCGCCGAGGAGCAGCGGGTCCAGCACGGGACCCGGGCACGCGTGCGTGAGAACAACAGCGTCGTAGAGGAAGAGCGAGGAGGCGCCGGGCTACACACGGAGGAGCAGCAGGGAGCGAGGCGGCGCCGTGGGGGGGAAGCAGGAGCTCGACCGCGGCTTCAGCGCGGGAAGGAAGGGCAGCGCTGCGGGTACACGGGCGCGGCAGCAGTCCAGCGCGGCCATGGGGGCAGGGGAGGTCGCCCAAAGCAGCGGCGTTGGCGGTAGGCAACCGAGAAAGGGAGAGCGGACGGTGGCAAAGAAGAGCGACGTGCAAGAGAGAGCGAGGAACCGTGCGGTACGTCCAATCTCATAAACGCGGCGTGGGGCAGGGGCAGGGGCCACGCACAGCGTGGCCGGCAGCGACACGCCTGCGCATGCATAGAACGTGAAATGGCACGGCGCGGGCCGGGGCAGATCCACGTGCTGGCGGAAGGAGGTGACTCGACGAGCCAGCAACCAGCGCAGCCAGGCCGGGCAGGCCCACGCGCGCAATGGCTTGCGTGGCCACAGCGATGGTGCTCCAGGGCTCGGGCGCACTCGCAAGGAAGAAAAAGGAAGGGCAGCGCACAGATAAAGCCGAGGCAGACGGAGATAAGCCGCAACAGGCAGAGACAAGCTGAGCCAGGCAAGGCAAGCAAGGTCAGAGAGCAGAGAGCACGACAAGGGCATTGAAAAGCAGGCAAACGGACACGCCGGGGTGCAGAGCAATGCAGCGCCACGACGTGAGACGTGACGGTGAATAATTGTCATGCAACGAGGACGCTGTACGCGGTGCCAGAAGAAGTAAATGAAGCATGCATAGCATATATACATATACCTACAGATATTTCTATTGGTTTACTAATTTTAACAATTAGCAACATTTAGCCACAAGGAGATTTCCAACAAGTTTGAATTTAAATTAGATTCGAAAAGTATATATATATATATTGTTCGATTTATTAATGGATTTTATTTTATTTATAAAAGTTGTTTTTCATGTTTAATCTAACAGAACAAACCGTTCACTAGAATCGTCGTTCGATATTCCTAAATATCTTTACGCACGGAGTAATTTAACTTGGACGTTTATTTGAGTTCACAAAACTAAGTCACACATGATTCACTCATTACATCAAGTATGTTTTAAATCAAAAATCCGAGAAAATCGTTTCGAAAATTTTTCTTAGACCTAAATCGTGGTGCTAAATAAGCTGGTAACAGCAGGGGTGTTACACATGTGAGGATATATTATGATGTTAAATTACTCCACAACGTATTGGGAAAGCACACAATAAGAATAGACAAGTGATAATTAACATCCCATTTCATTATGTGTTTCTAATTGGACTTGACTTGAGCAATTTTTTCTCTCCTACACTTTAATCTTTTTTATTTGGCCCTTACATCAAGATCCAATGGGCACATGTCTTTTTTGTTTCAGTTCGTCCTCCTGAATGGTACATCACCGGCCACCGGGCATCCTCTCCACGTGGCGCTTTCGCCTTGCCTTCCTTCTTTCATTGACAGTGCCTCCGTCTTCTAGACCCATCACTACCTCTGGCGAAGGCTCTTCACCTATTACATTTTTTTTTGAACACACGGGGGAGTCTCCCGGATACTCTTAAGAAGAAAGGTGAGGCTTCGCGCGGGAGCCAGCTATCGAACCGTGGGCGGGCAGCCTGAGCCCCTGCTCAGCTGACCAACCGAGCCCCCGCACCTATTACATTTTTGCCTCACCTTCTCCTCCATCTCTAATGACTCCCTATTTTCCCCAACCCCACCAGCTACCTACTGTGCTGAGATAAACCTCGCTATGACTAGTATTTCCTAAGAAAATCCCGGCACTCAGCCTCAGAATCCTAACTACAAGTAACCTTATCAAAGCTGAGGAAGACAGTCATAGTCATAGAAGGGGGGAGAGAGAAAAGTGAATTTCAAGTGTGAGGCAGAAAATTTTTCCAATGTGATAAAGCTTTTCCGTTCTAATTAATGTTCACTATATAACTTTTCCTTAGCTAATGTTCACAACAACTTTTTTCAGCGAATGTTCTCTATAACTTGACGCACTAGAAGTTAGGTGTTTTCCTTTTGGCTCAGCTGCTACTTTTCCCTTCTCGTGCACCATTGAAGCAAAGGACACGCAGACAAATTAATTGTTCAACCTCCATGGCACAACCGTCACCCTCAGGAGCAAAAGGTCAGGACAGGAAAAAGGCTACGGATCAGCTGCCGAGCCGGGGCAGCTGGCATTTGCACCAACCGATGCGTGCAAGGGCAAAGATCGGGCCATCAGCATTCAGCGCGCACACATGCATTCGTTTGCGTAGACAGCTACCAAGTCGTAAACACGTACTGCATGTGTCCTTCACTCTCAGATACTACATATCTTATAATCCGTCTTTTTCAGTTTGTTTTTTAGTCAGAACAGTGTTTACCTCTCACAACAAATCAGTCAGAACAGTGTTTCGACTTATTTTCTCAGCGAAGCGAACGGAGCCGATAAGTACAAAGATTATGTTATTAATGCGAATACTTAGCAAAATACTCGACCTCCACCTTGATTGCTAGCTTAGCGAGCTGCACCACAATCAGTGGGAGTGTGGACAGTGAGCTGGCTGGAGGTTAAGCCTGCTGATCGCCGCCACGCAGCCCACGCTATATAACCATCACTCACCCGCTCGCTTCCTCCCACTGCTCGAGCTCGATCAGCAGCTCAAGGAACCACAGAAAATGGCGCCTCTTCTCCGCCCTCTCGTGCTTGCGCTCCTGATCGCCTCCTGCGCGGCGCAGCAGCCCCCGCCGACGCCGAACGCGCCACCGTCCAACTCCCCACCTCAGGCGCCTCCAGCCGGCAACCCGCCGCCGGCGCCCCAGGCTCCTCCGGCAGGCAACCCGCCTCCCGCGCCCACCGCCACTCCTCCCCCGGCTCCGACGACCACGCCGCCCCCGGCACCACCGACCACTCCTCCTCCGGCTCCCACGACGCCGCCCCCGGCCCCGCCGACCACTCCTCCTCCAGCGCCCACCACGCCGCCTCCGTCGCCGCCGGCCTCGCCCCCTCCTGCTCCCACCACTCCGCCGCCGTCTCCCCCGGCGAGCCCGCCACCCGCTCCCGCCACCCCGCCCCCGTCTCCGCCCCTGGCGCCGCCTCCCGCCACGCCCCCTCCCCCCGCCACCCCGCCGCCACCGGCCGCCGCGCCCACGCCGGCCCCGAGCGTCGCCCCGACGCTCCCGCCCGCCGCGTCTCCGAAGAGCCCCAAGGCGCCGAGCCCCGCCGCCGCGACGTCCCCGGCGCCCTCGCTCTCGCCCACGGGCACGCCGACGAGCGAAAACTCTGGTGCGAGCGCGCGCGCGGCCGGCTTCATCACGCTGGTGGCGTTGGCGGGCGCGGGCCTCGCCGTCCTGCTTTGAGTAGTAGACTCCGACTCCTCCCGCCGATGTCGTCATCCCTCCCCGTGCCTCGACGTTGCTGCGCTCCATTTCCATTTCATCTCTTTTTTCTTTCTTTCTTTCGTGTTGTTATTTATTTTACCAGCCCTATGATCGATTCTTGATGTACAATGATGATGATGATGCATTGGTTAAGTTGCTTTGGATCCACGGCCGGGCGGTGGTTAGTGTTCTGCCCGCGGGTGCTTAGTCGCGCCTGTACTTTTACCGCACTACATTTTGGTTCTATAGAGAGAGGATTTGTGTATATTCTGGTGCTGCATTATTTCTATGGCCGTTGAATAATTTTTTCTCTGTGCAGCTTATTTACCGTGATCATGTACCGTGCTGGACTGCATGCGAGCAGTTCAATGTGTTGGTTCAGAATCCAGAGTAATAGCGTGTAATGGATACCATGGTACATTGGCATTGGCATTGCAGGTAGTACGATTTGTATGAAATAGTTACGAGCATGTCTATGTGAGTGTCCACGTGACCACGTCCAAACTTCGTGCTGTGCTGGTTCGGATTCACAGTTACCACGGCGCGTTTGCAGGTAGGAGGAAAGTAGATAGGAAGTAGGGACACGTCCATGTGAGTGACCATGTGCAGCTGTAAAAAGCACGGACGCTTTTAGATCACTAAAAAATTTCCCCACGTCTTGCTTGGATCTAGATGCGGAAAGCGGGAAATGATGTGGGCTGTACTATTTGAAAAAACAAATGCTGACAGAAACTAATGCGTCCTTGATGCAATCATTATTATGTGGGACGTTTTTCTGAAAGGAAAAACAAAAGTAGATACTATTTAGTTGGGCTTTTCTGTTTTGATGAACAAACAGCCCAGCCGCTGGGCCCAACATGAATTAGTCTGGTGAAGATGTCATCAGGAGAAAAACTCGGAACAGTACCAGAAGTCCTTTTAAGCTAGGAAAAAAATATCTCACTCAAAGTTAGGAAAAAATATAGTAGTTGGAGTAGTCAGTAATATTAATACTCCCTCATTTCAAATTATAAAATGTCTTAAATTTTTTAGATGCATAGCTTTTAGTATGCGCTTAGGGCAGTCCTAATATTAAAAACTACGTGTAATTTCTATACCTATTAATTTTTATAGACATTACATATAGAAACCATGGTTCCAATGGATATGGATAGTTTCTACGAAATAATTTTTTATCCAATCACGTACATTCTCTCTCCACTCTCTACCAATCACATCCCTTTATGTTTTAGTTCTCGTGAGACCCGGTTTCCATGATTTTTGCTCTCTCTTCAATAACTACATTGTCACATCAACAAAATGCTTATGTGGCAGTATAATTAATATCTATAGAGATTATGATGGTTTCTACATTGGGGGTGCCCTTAGATATACAGTACACTATGTCTAGATACATAGTTATATTGATGTATCTAGGAAATCAAAACATCTTATAGCTACTAGGAAAAACAAAACCAGTGTATGTAAGCTAATAAAGATGTTAAGTCTCGGCATCCACGTGAAATGATTAGAAATCTTCTCACCAACCATTGGTTTCGAATTCGTACTAGCGATCACCGAGCAATCGCCACGACGACACGAATGTACTAGTGCTACACTCAAAGTTGATGATGCAGGCCACGCCTCTGTAAAAAGGGGAGGGATCAAGGACACAAGCGGGCAACCGCAGCAGTGCCAACGTGACACGCCGGCGGTTGGTGGGAGGGTGGCGGACTGGCAGGATCAGAGGGGTCCGCGCCATCACCGTGAATGAATTGAAGGTGAGTCGCCCCGCCCGCCGCCAGCCGATGGTCGCCAGCAGGGACGAAAACGGATAGCATCGAAGCGGATAATGTCTTTCTCATATCCTAATTCATTTTTCTTTGTTGGATTCGGAGCCGAGCGGATAATACTCGGATACGGATGTGAATATGGATTTTTTCAGACTGGTATGGATATGGAGCGGACACGGATCAGATACGGATTTAAATAGCCGAGTAATATGTGCATACTTAAAGAATTTTATACTTATCAAAAAATTAATTGTAAAGATTTAATAGCAAGTAGTAGACAAAAATCATATATTGCATTCCATGTTGTGGTTATCACACCGACAAAATTAACATTTAACAAGTTATCCTCATTCACAAATGATAAGTTATTAGCCGATATGTAATAGCAGCAAGCAATATCTCAATTCAAAGTTTATAACGTCAAACAACAACATCACAAACTAAGAGTTCTCAACTAACAAACTTTTTTAAAAATCCTAAATTTCTCTAGGTTTTAGTCTAGGAAAAGAATTATCGGATATCGTATTCTAAACAACGGATAATCCTCATAGAATTTGCGGATAATCCATATCCTCTGGATTTTACCGATTCCATATTCTATCCCGCGTCCGCACAGAATCAGATTTGAATTATCCATATCTGCGCGGATTTTAAAATTTCTTCTCCATATCCTTAAAATTCAGATTCGACTCGGCTCGGAGCAGAGAATTATCCGCACCACTTCCACCCCTACCCCAGGGACGCGCGTACCGGCGCAGATCGCTGTCCGTGTCGCCCCTGCGCCACGTCGCTCAAGTACGTACGGCGCCAGCCCCCGCCGCCGGCCGGGCCGCCGCACTACTCTCCTCTCGCTTCGGAGGCACGCCATGCGTGGGATGGGATCGTGTCATCATGGGACGTGGGACATGCGGCTGGGAGGGATCCTGCTGCCACTGCCACTGGATCATTGGATGGGTGCGCGGTACGCAAGGAATCCGTTGGAGCTGTGCCGGGCTGCCGGCGACGGCGAAGCTCATGGTTATTGGGTCGCACGCGCAGATTCAGCATTTCGCATTTTCGCACCACGGATTCGGCAAAAAGGCGTTTTGCGCACCTACGGGCCGGGGCTGCCTCTCCATCGGGCAAAAGTAGAGCCTGAGCCTGAGCGAAGAGCGGGTCGGGTTTTCGGTTAAGCCGTTGGAGCGGTGCGTGCCTGCCTGGATGATGCTACGCGCGCGCGGAGATGCATCCCGGTTCATTATTGGGGGTAAGCTGTCGTTTTCGCTGATGATAAAAGGCGCTTTCAGCCTGATTTCTCGCTCGCGACTTGCACGCACATAAATGGGGAGCAAGGTCAGGTTGGACGGGCCATGGCGCCATGATGCTGCGGCCGTGGAGCCGTCAGAAACGCTGAGCACGACTGAGGTGCTAGGATTAATGCTCTGGAGTCTGGACCATGAGTCCATGAGTTCAGGTCGTTAGAGATTTATGGTGCAAAACTCAAGCCTACTCTTATCCGTGTTCAGGATATATATATAGGCCGGGTAGGTGTGGAAATAGATTCATTTTCTAGGTAGAAATGGATACCTAATTATTCATTTTGTTTAATTCCGTGTCTGATAAAACTTTAATAATATAATATAGATACTAAAATAGATGCGTCTTTTTTTTTGAAAAAAGATCAAGCTTTATTATTACTCAGAAGAAATGTTACAGCCTTAGCTTAAACAATAATTTGCCCAACACACTAGAGAACTAAAGCTGATCTGCTTGGTCTAAATAAGATACTAATGCTTTATGGTTCACGTCTGTGAATGGAATTGATAGATTTGTTGACCGTATGATTTTTTTAAGATGCCATGTGTCATCCATTCAGGGTAGGAGTCCATCGGAGAGAATTAGACCCCGGGTCCATACAATTTTATTCCATGACACCTACTAACAGTGTTAAAAAATATACCATCCTATATCTCTCAATTCCTCCAACCAAAAGAAAAGAATGAAATCCTATACTAGAAAAGCGGGGCCCTGTTCGTTTCGCTGAAATTTGGTTGCTGCTGATGTAGATTTATTATGAGATGAAAACACTATTCCTTCGTTGAAAAATACTGTTGAAGTAGTGCTGAAAAACAGGACGCAAAGTAGTGGATTGCTCCCGTCCCAAAAATAAGGAATGAGTCCATCCCATTTTATGGTTTCTCCTAACCAAACACACGTTTAGAGGTGTTTACAGGGCGTGTGAATAGTCTATGGTAGCATACTGTGATCCGTGGCATATTGCAGAATTTAGGTTCATACTGGATCGGATACTCTTGCCAGATACGTGTGAAACAATCTGGAAGGCCCTGACTGGATCGAGGGTGTGATTTAGTGGGCCGTGGACTACTTTGGGTTTAATTTTCTTTTTGAGTAAGGGCCCCGAACTGATAGGAAAACTTACTACTACGTTGCTGCCGGAGTCTCCATGGTCTGTGTAGTCGCCGTAGTGACAAATTTCGATATTTTATTTAACATCTAATATACGCCTCTCACTGAAATTGATCTCCAATCTGCACGTCTTTCTAAATTAGACATTCAACGCAAACTCTTTGGATTCAGGGGACTCTATTCCCTTTTTCAACTTACACCATCTTTTCTTTTCCTTTTCCTTTTTCAATCAAACCACACGTCACCAGAGGATTTTATCCATCTTCCTCTCGTCCTCTCCCTCAGCCGGAAGCAGACGAACGCTGCTGCCGTGCGGGACCTTGCCCTCAACCACAGACACCACTACCAGTCTACCACACCGGCCTCCAAGCACACCTGCAAGGCCGAGGCCGGCCCCCCCAGGTAGGCACGACTGCAGTCCGCAGGCGACAGAGGCTGTGCGTGGTCCGCCGCGCCCTAGAGGACCGCCTGCGCGCGCGGCTGCTGCAGGTGACCCGCCATGCCGCTCGATTTGATGGAGATGGGCTTCATCTGGATGGTGGCGGCCTCGGTTGTAACGGCGACGAGCAATGGGGGCTCGCCAGTTCGTTTTCAGGGAGGCAGCGGAAGCAGGCAGCTTGTCCTTGTCGTGGCGGGAGAGAGGATCAGCAGGTCGCATCAGGGCCGGCGATGCAGACTCGTAGAGTAGAGCAACCCTTGTAGCGGCAGCAGCTTGTCGCGGCGCGAGAGGATAAGCGGTTGCGACTTGCGGTTGCGATCCGAGTCGGACCGAGAGAAAGGGGCGCGAGAGGTGACGACTGA